ACCAGTTCCAAGGTTCTGGGTATGCTTGGCCTTGGTGCTTCAGCCAGAGAAGACACTAGGAAACTAGAGAAGCAGTGGGAGGCAGGTACGTGGCTCCTCTAGAGGCCCATATCCAAAGAGCACCCTAGGTGTGGTGCATGGAAGGAATGTTATCAATCAAATGGATACCAAATCTAGAGGTATGATTCCTGACTTCCGTATAGCCCGATCTTTTCGTCAGAGTTTTCTCAGTTTGTAATCTCATTTTTTTTTTTTTTTTTGTTCAAAACCTCTTTTTAAAAAAAAACTTTTTAAATTTAGTTTTAAAATTATTTTATTTATTTTTATTTTTTGAGTCAGAGTCTCCTTCTGTCACCCAGGCTGGAGTACAGTGGTGTGATATCAGCTCACTGCAACCTCCACCTCCTAGGTTCAAGCAGTTCTTCCTCAGCCTCCTGAGTAGCTGGGATTGCTATGTGTGTGCCATCATGCCTGGCTAGTTTTTGTGTTTTCAGTAGAGACAGGGTTTCACCATGTTGGCCAGGCTGGTCTTGAACTCCTGACCTCAAGTGGTCCACCCACCTCGGCCTCGCAAAGTGCTGGGATTACAGGTGTGAGCCACTGCGCCCAGCCCAAAAGCTCTTTTACAGAGTCATTGTGGTTTTAAATATCAACTCAGTTTTCAAGTGAGAAAATGGAGGCACACAGAATTCAACTGATTTGTTTAAGCTCATATAGAGTAGGGGTGCCAAGAGACTTTGTGGGGTTTTAGTTCTCCTTCATCTCTGTTTGCCTCCTCAAGCCACCTCAAATAAACCTACAATCTAAAGAAAATCAATTTGCTTTTGTTATTCCAGGGCAGCTTCATGACGATTCCCAGAGTCCCACCAGATGGCCATTCCCATGCTGTCCCTTTATTGAAATTCTGTGGTCATCACATAGTCCATAAGCAATGGAAGCAAAAGAGTAAACAGGTTTTACCAGAGTGTAACTTTCAAGTTTCAAAGAACCCGCACATCCACTATCCCATCAATTCACAGAATGTTCTGAGAGGCGACAAGAATAGGTGTTATTCCTGCCTGGAGATTAGGAGCTAGAAGCTCAGAAAGCTTGATTCTCACCTTGGTTCCTGTCTGCTATGGTGGACTCTCTGGCTTGGTTTTGGTCTGGGATCTCTGTCATATAAATGGCTGGAGAAGCCTCCCACTTATTTTCGTATACCTCAATTTCCCATTTGTTCCCATCATAGGGAGACTATATATCAGTAGCTTTGAGGAACAGATTGTATGTGCTCAGTATTGAAGCCCCTGGAATAATGACAGAAGTACCCAGTTAATTGATCAGATTTTATTTTAGGAATATCAGCCTCCCTGGGGAGGTGGTATGATGGAAAGATGGTGGGCTCTGGAGTCAGACTGGGCTGGATTCTCATCTGGACTCTGTCACTTACTAGCTGGTTGAAGCAGGGCTTTTGAGAGCCCCACATGCTAGGTCCCTTCATCTTGCCAGCTACCTGGCAACTAAGCAAATCTAGGACTTGGTGGAACAGAGTTTGAAAACAGCTGATAGAGTACAGCTTTCCGGGAAATGTAAAATTAAATTCTGTAGCTAAGAAAAAGAAATTATATGTAGAAATCAATTCAGTTTGCCTCCCACCCAAGGCCATGAGAGCAGGCTGCTCCAGATATACAAGACGTCATTCCCGCAGGCATTGTCAGTCTTAGAGTCCATGGGCAGTAATCGCATGGACAACACCCAAATTGATTGACTTTTCTGAAAGTATTGGTGAACTTCCTTTTCTTTCAGTTTCCTTGAAAACAGGTAGCTAGAAATGGAAAGGAAACTAAGTACGCTGGGTCAGCAGGATGCCAGGAGCATGCAACCATCCTTTGATTACATCACTGTATATTGACTGCGTGTAGACTACATGCCAGTGACTCTTTTGGCATTGGCAATACAGTGATGAACAAACAAAGGCACTATCTTCAAGGAGCTTCCTTTTGCATGAACGTGTGTGTATGTGTGTGTGTGCGTGATGTTACAGATAAACAAATACCTACCAGATGGCAATGGGGCTGTGACGCAAAAAATCAAACTGAGAAGAGAATCAGAGAGTGAAAGGAATTGCGTTTTCAGATAGGTGGTCAGAAGGGGCCTCTCTGTTAAGCTGGCCTTGTGCAGGGAATTGAAGGAAGTGCAGGAGGAAGCCACACAGAGATGGTAGAGGGAGCAAAAGGAGCAAAGGCCCTAACTTTCCCTTAATGCCGTCTCCTTCCGTCTTTGGTCCAGCCCAGCAATGTACATGTTATCCTCCCCAATTGAAGATGAAGACACTGAGGCTCAGCAAGATCAAACTCACAAAGTCACAAGCTCACAGCTACGGTCTGACGGAGGTACGGTCAAATGCAGCTCTACTGATTTCAGAGACGGTGCTGTTACCACAGGGGGCTGTCTGCATGTTGGAAAATGAGATGTGCTGCTGCTGTCACGTTGCAGCGGTAGTGGGGAAGCAGGCATGCGATGAGCTGGACCCAAGAGGAATCAGACAGCAGGTCTCTGGGCTTCATCCTGGGCATCTCCTAGCCCCGCTGTCTGTCTCATGACACCTACCCGCTGTGCCTGCTCACCTTGGTTTGCTGGCTGTTTTTTTGAAATCATTTCCTGGATCTTAGTAAGTTTCTTTTCCAGTTCCTTTCACTTTTTGGGACTGGTCCCCTAGATGCCAGGTGGAGAGAACTGAAAGAGGGAGAAGTCCAGCCTCTCTCACCAGGCTTGTCATGTAGCTGCACAAGCTAATAGCTGCAGAAACCAAGTTTTAATGTTTGTGCATGGGCTTCAAACTGTTTTTCCATGTTTGTTAGGGAAAATCTTAGCCAGGGAGCACTATCTTTTGAGGACATCAAATTGGGCCAAGTTCCTGTGCGGCCTTTCTCCTTATTTAGTGATTGCCCCGTGTGACCCTCTCCTCTCCAGTTGACCGCTTTTTCCCTGCATGGCACTTGGTGGATAAAGTTCCCTGAACCCTGGAGAGGAAGCGGATGCTGTTAATAGCCCTGGGAGTGTGACTGTGCTTTGCAGCTCACTGGAGCCTGTGGGATATTCCTCCAGCCTTGGCGGGGCTCTGAGCTGCAGGGAAATTAACCTCCGAGTCAGGGCAGGGAGCCAGGGTTGCAGGCACGTCGTCATCGGGTGAAATGAAATGGCAGAGGATAATGGCACGGTGTGGAGGGAAAGCATAGGCTTTTTTGTCAGAAGCTCTGGGGTTTGGCTCTTCTCTGTGCCATGTAGTTCTTTGATCTTGTGCAAGTTACTTACGGTCTCTCTGAGCCTTCAGTTATTTCAATTGCATGAAAACCAAGACAAGTAACACCTCTATATCAGGAATAGTTCATAGGATCATAGCACAGTATTGTGGGGATGAAGCAAGATAGTATCAGCTCATCAGAATCTAGCCCATGGGAGGGGCTCCATAAATGACCCTTTCTTCCTTCCTTTCTTTTTTTTTTTTGGAGGTGGAGTCTTGCTCTGTTACCAGGCTGGAGTGCAGTGGCACGATCTCGGCTCACTGCAACCTCCGCCTTCCGGGTTCAAGTGATTCTCCTGCTTCAGCCTCCTGAGTAGCTGGGGCGCCCTGCCCAGCTACTGTGGGGCATGTCCTACAGGCGCCCACCACCACACCCAGCTAATTTTTGTATTTTTAGTAGAGACGGGGTTTCCCCATGTTGGCCTGTATGGTCTCGATTTCTTGACCTTGTGATCTGCCTGCCTTGGCCTCCCAAAGTGTTGGGATTACAGGCCTAAGCCACCATGCCCTGACTCCTTTCTCCTTTTTTTGGAGAGAAGCTCATCTTTCTACCAACACATGACCCGAAGAAGTGTTGGGGCGGGGGGGGGGAGGTGGGGAAGAGGAGTAGAATTTGGATGCTCTGAAACTCTTGTTCAGAAATAGTTTCTCATGAGATGTGTCTCTGATGTCTTAAATGATTCCATCAGAAATTCATTGTTGGGTTAGGCATTGCCTCCCATCTAGGTTGCTTTCATCTGATTACAGTTAGAAGGTGGTAGAGCTGAGATTTGAAGGCATCAGGTGGTCTAATGCCTGAATGTAGCCTTAACCACTATGCTCTCCTGAGTCTCTCCGTGGACCTCACAACCTCTTCTAACGATTCCTCTGGGCATATTAGCTACTTCCACCTGCCTCCCCCCTGGCTTGCTGGGGTGCCTCCCCCTCCCTCCACTGCACTTGGCTTTGTCAGTTAGGGATTGCCTTCTTTCCACCGTCCCCCACCCTCAGTGTGATTTAATTGGGAAATTGTTTCTTGATCTTACCTGTCCTGTCTTCCTTCTATGCTAACTTCACTGCCCCCTACTTTGTTCTACCAGACACATTGCAATTAGCTCATCACATCTCTGTCCTAACCCTTGAATACTTCTCTATCTTTCCTAAAAGATGCGGTTCTTAAAAGGCAGGACTTGCAACTCATTTTGGGTTAGAGGCCTGATGCCTAGTACCATGCCTGGCACTCAGGGTCTCCTTGAAGAATGCTTGAATGAGGAACTGGCAGGCGTAGAACTGTGGATAAACCAGTTCACTGAGTTAGCAAATTAATAGGTTCAAAAATTTCCAGGAGTTAGATAGCTGTGAGATTCTCTCTCTCAATCTTTTTATTTTTTTTTCAACTTTTATGTTCAGGGGGTACATGTGCAGGCTTGTTAAAACTATGGAACATGGCTGGGCATGGTGTCTCATGCCTGTAATCCCCACACTGTGGGAGGTCGAGGTGAGTGGATCATTTGAGGTCAGAAGTTTGAGACCAGCCAGGCCAATGTGGTGAAATCCTGTCTCTATTAAAAATACAAAAATTAGCTGGATGTGGTGGTATGTGCCTGAAATCCAAGCTACTCGGGAGGCTGAGGGAGGAGAATCACTGGAACTTGGGAGGCGGAGGTTGCAGTGAGCCAAGATTGTGCCACTTCACTCCAGCCTGGGCAACAGAATGAGACTCTATATCACAAATAAAAAAAATATGGAATGCTTCACAAATTTGTGTGTCATTCTCATGCAGGGACCATGCCAATCTTCTCTGTATCATTCCAGTTTTAGTATATATGCTGCCGAAGCGAGTATTCTCTTAATCTTTTTAATGAATGAATGTGCATTAATATACACTAGCAAAAGAAGTAATGAGACATTTAAAAAATTATTTTATTCATTTAAACTCTTTGAATGTTGTTCTCCATATATCAATCTGATCTATTTGACAACTTGAGTTCATTTCTTGAGTCTCTCAAAGAATGCAATTGAGTGTCAGGCAGTAGAGGAAGAGCTGATGGAGATTCAAGCATTTTTCTAGAATCGTTCAGTTTAGATTTTGGGTTTCTGATTTGGAATTCAAGAAAAGGTTCCCTTGCAGTTTGTTAATTAACATTAGGGTAGGAGGAGCAATAAGGACTCACTGGGCTTCAGTGCAGGTGCAATTACTCACGCGTGTCCAACCAAACCCCGGATATCAGTTGTCCCCCATCCCCCATTTCTCTGCAGAACAAGAGACAATAAATAATTTGGGAACAGTCTGGCTGCTTGGTGGTGGCATAGGTGGTATGTGTGTCCATAAAGTAGGGTAACTACTGCTTAACACAGTAAGGTGGTGTTCTTTTTCGCTCATGAGACAGTCCTATGTGAGTCAAGGGCAGGGATTGGCAAATTACAGCCCATGGTCCAAATCCAGCTTGTAGCCTGTTTGTGTATGGCCCATGAGCTAAGAAAGGGTTTTACATTTTAAATAATTGCAAAAACAAACAAAAAAACCCACAGAGAAGAATGTGTGGCAGAAACTGCCTGTGGCTCATAAAGCTTAAACTATTTAAATCTGATCCGTTACAGAAAATGTTGGGTAACCCCTGCTCCAGGAAGAAGTGAGTCGTTTTCCCCAGGAATCTAGGATCCTGCCAGCTCTTGGCTCTATGATGGGGAAAGAGATAGTGGGGAAGACACTCCTGTTCTTAAAAATCTCAGTCCACAGGTGAAATGCATCATTGCCTGGGTGCAAGCGGATAAAAAGTTAGCCCTTGGCTCTCCCTCTCTCCTTTTCTCTTGTATCCTACTTCTTTACTCCTCCTTCAGTTTTTGAGAAACAAGAGCAGACCCTTTCAATGTAGCTAATCTGGGACTGATACAAAGCCCACAGGTTCTAGCACCCTCTCTCTAAGCCATGGATCAGAGCTCTGAAAGCATTGAAAAGTAATACCTGCTCTGTATCAGGCTCCATGGTGGATGTTACGGGGGGCATCTGTATCAGGCCCCAGGGTGGATGCTGGGGCACCTGCTCTGTACCAGACCCCAGGGTGGATGTTGCGGGGGCATCTGTATCAGGCCCCAGGGTGGATGTTGTGGGTAGGGGGGCCTCTGTATCAGGCCCCAGAGTGGATGTTGGGGGGGCATCTGTACAAGGTCCCAGGGTGGGTGCTGGGAGGGCATCTGTATCAGGCCCCAAGGTGGATGCTGGAGCACCTGCTCTGTACTAGGCCCCAGGGTGGATGCTGGGGCACCTGCTCTGTACCAGACCCCAGGGTGGATGTTCGGGGGCATCTGTACAAGGTCCCAGGGTGGATGCTGGAGCATCTGCTCTGTACCAGGCCACAGAGTGGATGTTCGGGGGCATCTGTACAAGGTCCCAGGGTGGGTGCTGGGGCACCTGCTCTGCGCCAGGTCCCAGGGTGGATGCTGGGGCCACCTGCTGTGTACCAGGCCCTGAGATAGATGCTTGGGGTACTTGCTTGTACCAGGCCCTGGGGCAGCTGGTGGGAGAATCTGCTCTGTACCAGCACCCACGGTGATGCTGGAGAAACCTGGTCTGTACCAGGCCCCAGGGTGGATGCTGGGGGCACCTGCTCCGCACCAGGTCTCAGGGTGGATGTTGGGGGTACCTGCTCTGTAGCAGGCCCTGGGGTAGAGGCTGGGGGCATCTGTACCCTCCACCGTGGTTCCTAGGTCAGAACAGGTGCCCTGTGCATTTGTTTGCTTGACCTGCATACAAGTTTGGAGGAATGAGGTAAGGAAAAAGGCTTCCTAGTGAAGACAGGACTATCAAACTTGAGTCACAGCTGAAAGGACAGGTAAGATTTAGAAATAATAGTAAGAATTTATAGATGACACAACCGAGCTAGTAAATTGCAGACGCAGGGCTTGATCCCAGAGCTGTTTGACTCTAAATCTCATTCTCTCCATGACTATGAAAAATAATGAATTTTTCAGAGAGTTTGACTATGAAACTGTCTAACACAGTAAGTCAAGTCAAACTTCTAGAGCATCTGTGTGCAGTATTTCCATTGGGAAAGGTGATCATTGTTTGGAGGCTGCTACATTGTAAGCGAGGTTGCAAAGGAGATAAATGGGAGGGAATTGCGTTCTGAAATTTCCTTGAGCCAACAGAAGCATGAAGTGTCTGGGGCTGCAATGCAATTATGTGAGAGGAAGCCGATGTTTATAGACATCCCACTGTGGGGATGTTAGGCATGGTGAAGACGCACGCAGAAATCTGAAAACTTTGAACTTGTTTATTTCTGATTTTGTATCTCTACATGCTTTCATTGCCAGGAATTCTGAAGCCAGAAGGAACTTGCTAATTATTTACAGGGGAAAGAACAAGGGCTTTAGACCTTGGCAAACCTGGATTCAAATTCCAGTTCAGGAATCTATGACTGTAGCAAAACATTATTTCTTTTTCTCCAAAGGGTCAGAAACAGTAAATAATTTGCCCAAGTTACACAACTAGGACAGAATTGCTTTATCTATGTTACTGCATAACAAAGCGGCCTAAAACTTAGTGGTTTAAACAACAATCAGTTATTTAGCTCACAGATTTTTAATTTGGGGAGGGCTCAGCAGGGAAGGCTGGTGTCAGCTTGGCCAGCTCAATGGGGGCTGAATGGTCTGTTTCTCAGACAGCTTATTCACCTGGCTGGTACGCTGGTGCTGGCTGTCAGTGGAAGCTTGGCCAGGGCTGAGGGCTGAGGGACTTAGTTCCTCTTCACTTAGGCACCTCCACAGGCTACGTAGGCTTCCTCATGCTGCTGTGACTGGGTTTCAAGAAGCAAGAAGAGGAAACTGATGGTTTCCAAGCCCTGGGCCTGGAAACTGGCACAGCATCACTTCCACCTTATTCTGTTGTTAAGCCATCACAGAACCCAGATTCAATGGGAATGGCCAAAGACCCTCCTTTTGGATGGGAAGAGTGTTCAAGAATTTGGGGCTGTATTTTAAAACTGGCAGAAAAATGGAGATATTATATTTTCTCATTTAATTCTAAAATGAGATAGGAAGTAATCTCTTGGGAACTCTTTTGTATTATGTTTTTTAAAAAATGGGATTATTTAGCTCCAATATCAACTTGAAATATATGACCATGAGTGAATGGGATTCATGAATTGGTCATATATTTCAAGTTGATATTGAAGCTTAAATTCAAACCCAGTATGGATCCAAACCCAATTATGTTGATTCTGTCTTTTAACAGTCATGTTCACTCTCCTACTGGCATTTCTGCAGTTAAAGTCACCATCACTCCGTGCTATACTTGCAACAACCTCTTAACCCAGCCTTCCTTCCTGCCTCCTCCTTTTTTTTTTTTTTTTTTTTTGACATGGAGTCTCGTTCTGTCACCCAGGCTAGAGTGCAGTGGCATGATCTCAGCTCACTGCAACCTCTGCCCCCCGATTCAAGTGATTCTCCTGCCTCAGCCTCTCGAGTAGCTGGGATTACAGGCGCCCACCACTACACTGGGCTAACTTTTGTACTTTTAGTAGAGACAGGGTTTCACCATGTTGGCCAGGCTGATCTTGAACTCCCAACCTCAGGTGATCTGCCTGCCTTGGACTCCCAAAGTGCTGGGATTACATGCGTGAGCCACCGTGCCCAGCTTCTGCCTCTTACCTTGTTCCCCTCCAAACCTGCCCCTTCTAAGGGGTAAAAAGAATAGCATTGCTTCTCTGCTTATAATTCTTAAAGGCTCCCTGTGGCCTTTAGACTGAAGCTCAGCTTTTTCCTTTCCCTTAATTTGGTTGCTGGCCCTTCATGGTGTCCCAGCCTACTTCTTGGGCTCAGAAACAGTCACTTTCTGTCTCTCTATTATTCCAGGAGAAGTCAACATGTAGATTTCCCCCTTGACATTTATTGACTCAAACATGATGCTAAGTGCTTTACAGGAATTATTTAACTTACATTTTCACAACAACTCTGTTGGGTTCTCTTTTATGTTGGGTTTTGAAGCCAGGTATGCTTGCTTGGGAAATCAAGCTGTTGAATTCTATGGTAAACTGTCTCTACTTGAAATTTCCCAAATGCACAGTCTCCTGTCTGGTGTCTGGAATGTTACACTTGCTATGTCTTCTCTCTATCTCTACCTTTTGTCTCACTAACTTATACTTCCTTTTCAGGTTCAGCTTTAGACAGTCTTCTCTCCAGGAAGATTTCTCAAGACTGGTTGAGCTTCCCCGCTATTTCTGCCCATAGTACCCTGTCTTATTCTTAGCCAGTGCATTTCATTTTGTACTGATATTTTTGTTTTCTCATGTCCCTCATGTACTGTAAATTCTTTGAGGGTAAGAACAGGGTCTTTACATCATGTTTTTCTTCTGAAGTGAAAGGCATTTTAATACAACATCCTCCAACCTCACAGGTTCTCTTTGAGCTTTCATTGTCTATGAGGCTATGAGTTTGCTGAGCTCTCACTGCCACAGATGCAGCCATATACCAAAAACTGGACCCAGGTAACTGAATTTGTCATGATGGGCTTTGCTGGCATTCATGAAGCACACCTCCTCTTCTTCATACTCTTCCTCACCATGTACCTGTTCACCTTGGTAGAGAATTTGGCCATCATTTTAGTGGTGGGCTTGGACCACCAACTCTGGAGACCCATGTATTTCTTCCTGACACATTTGTCTTGCCTTGAAATCTGGTACACTTCTGTTACAGTACCCAAGATGCTGGCTGGTTTTATTGGAGTGGATGGTGGCAAGAATATTTCTTATGCTGGCTGCCTGTCCCAGCTCTTCATCTTCACCTTCCTTGGGGCAACTGAGTGTTTCCTACTGGCTGCCATGGCCTATGATCGTTATGTGGCCATT